CATGTCAAAATTAAATAACTGTAGCTAAACGAGTTTCAAGAGAAACGCAAATATGTTACTTTTTAACTTTGACTGAGTTTATTCGTGTATAAACCAGCGATTCTAGCGACATTTCGCCTTTTACACCGGGGCTACTCTTTTAAGCACAACACCGGTGCCGGACAACACCGGAAATACGTAACGTTTGCAGCATCTATTTGGGTCCCGCTTTACGATTACCGTTAACACCATAGATATCATATAAAAGTGTTTATATGATATCTGTGGTTAACACAAAATAGCTTCGTTTGTCACGTGTTCCACAAAAGAATGTTGTTTGGAAGTTAACGTGTTTGCATTCGTGTTTGCTAAAGAATATCTTGGTCCAGCCCCAAACTACGATGGCGAGCCGCCTTTCTTTGCACTTGCAGCTCTCGACCATCATGGAGACGATGGCCAAGTCTGTCCTGGGTCAGGTCTTCAAAGTGGTGGATGAGGACTCGGCTAAACTGCGGTCGGAGCTCTCCAGGCTTCAGTTTGCAAATACAGCATTGGCAGAGAAAGTGCACAGCCTCGAATGTGAGCTAACGATTGTAAGAAACGACTCCTCCAAGCTGTGTAAAAGTCACCGAAGCCTAGGTGTCCAAACTGGCTCCTGCAGAGATGAGGAGGCGCCCGATGGTATATCTATTTTTAGAAATCATCAAGAAAGCTGTGGTTCACAAAACATTTTGAATTAACTACTTGTCGTTTTGTGTTTGTTTTTTATTTTACTGTTATTTTGGTGTAGAGAAAATAGATGAATGGGTGTGTTTTTATTTTATTTGTCTCCTCAGTCCCTGCTCCTCTCACTATAGATGAGATCTTTGGGAAAGACTGGTGTATGAACCTGTGGAAAGACAAAGACAGTCTGCAGAAACGCACAGACTCATCACAATTTCCTGAGAAGGTGAGAACAAGTTACAAAGGAACTTTTTTTTTTTACAAATATGTGCTACAACAGAAGATAATAAAGTTTAAATATGACATACAGTATTCTGAATATGTGATATATATGTCACAGTGCTGCAATAAATAATTTATTTACTACAAAAATATTTATTGCATCACTGTGATAATTATATATAACTGTTATTTATATAATAGAAAATTTAACTCCCATTCACATACATGAGGTATGTTGCTTTGGTGATAAATGTGTTTGTACTATAGATGTAAGGAAAGCTAGAATTACAAAAATGTGTTCTCTCCTGACTTATCAACTTTGTTGCAAAAAAAAGTATACTGCGTGGCGTAAAGCACGGCATTCAGGGTTGGAGAGTTATAAGCTTGATTTTCGCCAGATTCTAAATATAGCAACACAAGCAGTGTAACAGTTGAAGTCTGCTTATTATAGAGAAGTTTACACAAATTGCCTCTACTCCACTTATTTTTTTAAACAGCAAGACAGTTGGAAAATAAGCCCTCAGTTTTGCCATCATCTCTTATAGTAGATGATACTGTAGTCACCAGTAAAGAACGAATAGTAAATATTTTTAATGTACATCAGGTTCCAGTGGTGTTCCAGCATCTAAATCGACTAGTTTGAATAGTAGCTCCAGCTCAGAACTTGGGGAAATTAACTTGTGTATCCTCTGACTCCTTCCAGTCTCAACATGGCTTGTGTTATGTTCCCCTTTGCAAAAATTTTGTTTTTACTTAGTCACGGAGAATGAGGTCAGGAGGGAATTGCTATCTTTAGACCCTAAAGAGCTGGACTGGACAAGCTACCTCCATTATTTTCACCGTTGTCGTTTAATTTTGACAGTGAACTGTTGTTAATGTAATTTTTCATTTCCTTGTTGTTATTGACTTCTATGTTTTATTGTTTTGCCAAACTGTATTGTTTCCCTTCCCTTGACCCTGCAAGTACTTGTTGGTGCTGCCAGGCCAGCACTGTAAATAAGAATTTGTTCTTAGTGTTTATGCCTGCCTGGTTAAATAAAGGTGAAATGGAAAAAAAAAAAAAAAAACCTGAATATCTATTCTGTAGTGAAAATCTTTCACTTCCCATTTGCTAGACTTTCTCAATTCAAAATATTTGACTTCACCGTGTCCTGAATGACCAGCATAATAATAAACTATTTATTTTAATGATATTTCTTGTCACTTTTACACTAATATAATAATGTACTTACATAATATTACATTAAAAATAACTGTTAACTACTGTTTGTTTCTTTCTTTCCTCTGTTTTGTAAAACAGTCTGTAGAAACACTCTCTGATGAAGTAACAGTTACTGATGTCAAAGAGGGGCCATACTTGCCGGTTGCTGCTCCTTTTTCCCAGCAGAAAACTCTCAACACTAAAGGTAAAATAGGGGGAAGGAACTACAATACAATGGGGTTATATGAAGTTCATATTTATTAGCTTTACCTCTTTTTACCTTGTATACAACAGATCATGAAGAAAGCATGGCCGAGGAATCAAAGCAGCTGTCAGTGGATTACTCTGTGGATGGCAGCAGCACTAGTAGCTTGCTGTTGGAGCAGGCTGGAGAGCAAGTCATGTCAGCGGGATGTACTGAAAAAACAACTGTTCAAATGATATCTGTCAACGATACAGATAAGACCTTCAGCAGTCCTATCATTTCAATAGACTTAGAAGATGATGACGATGTTGTTGATGATGACGATGATGATGTCCAATTTGTTCAAGCAAGCCAACAGGAGCCAGCACAGACCTCTGCAGCTGGGCCCAGTCAAGACAAACAGCAGCTGTTACCAGTAAACACTGAAAATCACACAGCTGCAGAAGAAAATTCACATGGCGACATCAATGTGCGTAATGGACAAAGCAACACAGCTTCAAATATAGGCACTTTAACATGTCAAATATGTAGTAGGACATTCTTTCACACAAGCACTTTGACAAACCACATGAAGTCACACAAGTCCAACTTCTGCAGCATTTGTAAGCAGTATTTCCCCCAAGGAAAGAAAAACTCCCACAGCTGTGTGCCTCCTGTTAGCTCACAGAGAAACACCAAGTCATGCAATTTATGCGGCAAGAGGTTTAATACCCAATCAGCTCTGAGGACTCATCATGTCGTCCACACAGGAGAGAAACCATACAAGTGCGGCTTATGTGAAAAACGGTTTACCCAGAAAGGCAACCTAAAATGTCATCTGCGTATCCATACTGGCGATAGGCCTTTCCGCTGCACGGAATGTGGGAAGACCTTCACGCAGAAGGTGAACCTCAGTCATCATGTGATGGCACACTTAAATCGTGACATTGCTGGAGAAACGCCAGATGGTCAGAAACAGGTCGAAGATGGTACAGCAGAAACCTGTTTGTGACTGGGTGTGCAACAGGATCATTATATTTAAAATGTTCTAGTTTTAAGTCTAGTGGCAAAGTAGTTGATTTCATTTTTGTAATCTGTAGTGTCAAATTAAAATAACAGCAGTAATGAATAGGAATGACCTGGAATTTCTTGCAAAAAGATCTGAAGTTGTCGACTTTGACCACTCTACAAGGGATTTTAAACAACTTAAGTTTTTCAAAAATCAGTGCAGACATGCCTGTTTAGAATTTTACATCGTTTTATAATGTAGCTTGTTTTTATATAATTGTATTTACTTTTCATTTTATATGCTTTTTATGATTGTCTAGTTGTCTGTACCTCGTGTTTGTTTACAACAGGTCTTTTGTAAGAGTCGTGACTCAATGACACTAACCTTTTATAACACTATAGTTTTAAGTCTAGTGTCAAAGTACCAGTAGTTTATTTCATGTTTGTTATCTAGTGTCATACTAAAATAACAGCGTTATGAAACAAACTGTTGCATTATTTTTCTCTGTTTAATAAAAGTTATAAATTTTTATATTTCTTTTTTTTTATTATTATTATTATTATAAAGGATCTTTTTACAAATCAAAGCTTAAGATGCAAAAATCATCGCTGGCGTCTTCACATATTTAACTTGAACTGTCCGAAGTAGGTCTCACAATAAAGGGCATGAGTGCACAGCAGAAATTAGGTTTTGATAGGAATAGTTCACTCAGCTGCCATGTTGACTGCAAATTACTATAAAATTAGATCCACGGCATGTTCGCAAACAAATCTTTACATATGTATGATGCAACCACAAGAACAATGATTTGTGATTGATGGTTATGGGGAGTGGTGGCGCAGAGGTTAGAGGTGGGCCTGCGATCCGAAGATCGCCGGTTCACGCCCCGGCCCCGACAACATCAAAATTGTGGGTGGGGTAGGTGAAACGCCCACACCTGCCCCCACCTTCATTCGCCCCACTCTGGGCACATGAACAAGGCCCTTAACCCCCACCATGTGCTCCCTAAACAGGTCTCTCTTGAAAATGAGTTCTCGTGGCTCAATGAGACTGCCTGTATAAATAAAGGCTAAATAAAATTAAAATTTAAACATACAGACAATAACAGCTTTAAGAGTTTACTTTAATATATTATCAAGACAAACATTTTTTACAGTTCTGTTCTTTAAAGGAGACTGGCCTCCACACTGTTTAATGCCAAAAAAATGAGGCGTAACAATTAAAAAGTACAGAGTGGAGGTGATACCCGGGCAATCAAACAAGAGTTGTGTTACTTTGTTGCAAAGAGGTAGTTTTATAAGTTAGCCAGGAGCACCTGCCCAGGTGAACTCTTTTGGTATTCTCTGGGACAGGTGGTCTGCGACATGAGGTACATACATATGACAGAAATGGAGATTCAGCATTGTCCTCATGGCTGTTGTCTCTTTCATGCTAGTGGATGACATTTTTTTTTTTTTTTATGTTAAACTCAATCTGACATGAACAAATAGTCCATTAAGGATAGATGTTGCTTTTCTGCTGCACCCGTTGTTTCTGCCATAAAGCTAAAAACATGTCAGACAGCAGCAAAACACACTTTACAAATTACCTTTCTTCACTTTGAATATATTTCTTTCATCTATTTCAGGTTTGTATAGACAAACTGCCACACGTGTCACTGGGAGCAGTGCTGAGGACGCCACCGTCAAATACTTCTGGTTTGATTAACCAGTTGAAACACTGGTGGTGATTTAAACCATATTTATATGCATAACATTTACCACAATCCATACAGCTGTAAGGTTTTTCACCAGTGTGCGTTCGAAGATGTATATTCAGAGAGCTTTTTTGGGAAAAACTTTTCCCACAGTCTGGACAGCTGTAAGGCTTTTCACCAGAGTGCACTCTCTGGTGCAGCTTCAGGTACGTTTTCTGAGCAAAGCGCTTTCCGCACACCGAGCAGCTAAAGGGCTTCTCTCCAGAGTGTCGTCTAATGTGGACTTTCAAACTGCTCAAATAGTTAAAGACTTTCCCGCAGAATAAACACTCGAACCGCTTTGCTGGCTTAATTGGCTTTGGCAGAAAAGAGAGTTCTTTGGTTGCGTTCGTCTGGATACTGTTGGTGTAGTCGGAGTTTTCCACAGCGGCTGGAGGAGGAGGATTTGCGTTTTCAGCCAGACTGCTCAGTGTTGCGCTATCTATTAATCTGTCTGCGATTGTTGGCTGTGTGCGTTGCTGCATTTGACTTTCAGACATCATGGCGAAATTGTTCAACTCTCCTGAATGAAGTTGAAGTTCGTCAACAGACCTGTGAAAGATACCGTCATCCTCGAACATCCCAACAACTGTAAGATTAAAACAAACACTTAAGTCATGGACAGCATCGCGATTATAAAGATGTGCGTTGATTTCAGTCAGAACTTACTTTTCTGGCTGTCAGTAAGCACGATCTGTTGACCAATGGGATGATCATCATACGTCTCCTCCTTAACAAAGACGAGATCTGGTTCTCGTCCCATCATGGCTGTTACCTACAAACAAAAACAGCTATAAAGCCAGGCCACTATTTATAAACTACACATAGAAGGCTGGTTTGTACTTCTATGTTTGTCATTGCGGCGGTCTCCATGTGCTCTTTTCTTTGAGGAGGCTGCTTGTCGTCTCTCCACAGGTCCATGCACCAGTCTTTCCCAAACACCCCATCAATGGCTGGAGTAGATTGGTGCTGATCTAGAAGAGAAGGCAGATGACAGATTGTAGCACACGTATGGGTTTTTTTTTTTTTTTAATAGAACGAGTCAGCTGAAGAAAAAATGAGGCTGTGGTGCAAAATAAAGACATAAGTGAAAACAGGATTCTGTAACATGCATATGATATGTTGGGGGGTGGGGGCCTCTGGTGTGGCTGTCTGGAGAACCTTTTGTCCAGCTATCTGACCTGGAAGTTGTCTGCGGTTCATAGTGTTGTTGAAATGTCCAGGGTAACACTGTCCCTCCCTGGCTGCTCTCAGCTGGACCTCCAGTGAGTAACATCTCTTCTTCAGCGCCTCGTTCTCCGTCTTGTGCAGAGATATCTCGGTGTGAAGGACGGAGGAGCACTCATCCGCCAGACTGCTGATTTCAACCAAAGCCGTCTTTGTTAGCTTGTCCAGGATGACGGCCAGCTGTGTCCGAAAACTCCTGTTCGAGTTGTCGCACATCATATCGTCAGAGACAGCCTGAAGATTTGGGCAAATTTGGCTCGATTCCGACCGTTGCAACGTTGTTCCTTTAATAAAAAATCTTGATACGGCTCGACCGCAAAGGATTATGGGAAATTGGTACAGCTCGCCTGCCTGAGTAAAAAAAAAAAAAAAACTGTCTGGCTCAAAAGGAAATGAAGTGTGCAGAGGACATAAAGCAAAATTAAATAAAAGACTCAGGCTTTCATTCTAATAATTTTCTGTCAATTTTTGACTAACATAATAATTAACAAGACTGTTATTTTATAACAGTTGGCTGAAAACCTGTGAATTTGTTGAATTTACTTGCAGTGTGGCCATATTATCACACACATTTATGTCCGCTTTTTTAAGTGTCTGGGTATAATGAGAAATTTTCAAAACTATGTAATCTTTAAAAAATTTAAAAATAAAACATAAATCTTTAAAGGTCTTTAAAAACAAAGTAAAAGCCAAACTGCTGCGTTACCAACAAAGAAAAAGCTGCATTTCATGCTTCGATTACTATCACTTTAAATTAAATTGGATTTTTTTTTTTAAACGACAGTTTTTAAAAATAATTTTAAGCCACTTTTTAATTAACATTTTGAGAACCATTACTGCTACCTAGCGGTAAGTGTAGGAAATTGCGTAATTTTAAATTACAACAGGAGTCCTCTCAGGGCAGTGAACAGAAACATTCATATATAAAAATAATAAGTTAACAAAAACGTTCATAAAAATAATAAGGTAACACTATTTATTTGAGGAGCAGAACTCACATATTGAGCAAGCATGAAGGCGACAGTGGAAAGGAAAAACTCCCTACTAAGGAAGAAACCTTTAGCAGAACCAGGCTCAGGACAAGCGGCCATCTGCTTTGACCAGCTGGGTTTGAGAGGAACAGGAAAGAACAGATACACAATGGCAGGTTGAGAATCACGTTAAGATAGTATCAAATGAAAACTCTTCAATTTTAACAATTCATTTAAGGAAATGAGGTCAATTTGTCCTCCAGTAGCATACACCTATAGCAGCATAACAAGCCAACTATAGGATTTATCAAAAAGGAAAGTCTTAAGTCCAGTCTTAAAACTGGACAATGTGTCAGCCTCACGGACAGAAACTGGAAGTTGGTTCCACAAGAGAGGAGCCTGATAACTGAAAGATCTTCCTTCCATTCAAACTCTAGGAACCGCAAGTAAGCCTGCAGTCTGAGAGTGCTCTGTTAGGAAAATATGGAACAATAAGATCTCGAATATAAGATGGAGCTAGGTTGTTGAGAGCTTTGTAAGTTAAGATTTTGAATTCAATTCTGGATTTAACAGGGAGCCAATGGAGAGAAGCCCAAACTGGAGTGATATGATCTCTCCTACTAACTCCAGTTAAGACTCTGGCATGAACCAGTTTTTCTGCATAATTTTTATGTTTTTAATTTTAGCGATATTACGCAGGTAAAGGTGGTTCTAGTAACGGAATATTTTTAATGTGGGGTATCTATTT